CGTGACCCCCCGCTCGCACTTCCGCCGCGCAGGCGCAGTAGGCGCCGAGCGCTGCCCGCGCTTGCCTCTTTCGGGGTGCAGGGAGGGAAGGGGGTGACATCTGTGGCAGACCACCAGACTTCTAGACAACGTCTCTCGAGCTGGTAGACCCAGCGATGCAGACTCCCGCCAAGTTTACACACCATAGGTGCAGAACGATTTTAATCCTCTGCAGAGGGGAAAGCATCACACACTTAAAGCGCATTTTAAAGTAACTTTAAAGGTCTAAATACACGGAAGAGCGGAGAGACAGTACAGCTGTCATATAATTAGAATGTACTAATTTGAAAACATTTTGGCTTATTTGCCTCGAAAACTTTTTTTTAGGTTTTTTTTCCGATACAGGGTTTCTCTATAGCTTTGGAGCCTGTCCTGGAACTAGCTCTTGTAGTCCAGGCTGGCCTCGAACTCAGAGAACCGCTTGCCTCTGACTCCCAAGTGCTGGGATTAAAGGTAGGTGTGCGCCACCACCGCCTGGCACCTGGAAACACTTTTAAACCACAGATACTACATCTTTCACCCACAAATTCTTTGTAAACCTATGTAAACTAAAAAGCAAATCTTGGTCCAAGATAATTATTTTGCACTGCTAAGAGGTTTATTATGAACCAGGCGGTGGTGGCACACGCCTTTAATCCCAGGATTTGTGCCTGGTCCGCAGAGTAGCGGTTTATTACAACAGCATGTAAGAAGTACAACTTCAAAGGTCTGGAGTTGGAAAGAACTTTTAAGTTTTGTGTGTATTATTATTTGGAAATAAAAAATTTATATTCACTGTCGTTTCTTTTTCTCAGCTGTTACTGATTCCCTGTAGATTTCACATCATGCGTTCCCGATCCTGTTTGCCCGGGCTCAGAGTTCCATAATGACCTGCATGCATACTCGGTTCTTCTGCTATAGTTTTTTCAGCACCATGTAAACCTTTTCTCTTGGAAAAAAATTAAATGTAAAGGGAAGTTGAAAGATTAGTATGATAAACATTCCTTTGCCCTTTAGACTGTTCCTATTTTACCACATTGCTTTTACTGTGTAGATTTTATTTTTAAAGCTAAACTATTTCAAGAAAGTACAGATTTTATGACTTTCAACCCTAAATATTTCAGTGTGCATCTACTGAGGATGAGTGAGGGTACTCCCTACTCTGCCACAACTCCAAGGATCATACCTAAGAAAACTAATATTTGTTAAACAATACTGCTATATAACCTATTTCTAGATTTAAAAAAATATGTATTTTTAATCATGTTGTGCGGGTAAGTGCACATTAAGTGCAGGTGCTCTTGCCAGAGGGGTCAGACCATTCATTTGAAGATGAAGTTACAAGTGAGTGTTTCTCGGCCCATGTGAGTGCTAGGCTAATTTTTCTTTTCTTTTCTTTTCTGTCCCCTCCCTAATTTTTATTTTCATGTGGATTTTTGGCTTGAATGTATCTCTATTCATCATGTGTGCGCCTGGTGCCCACAGACGCCAAAAGAGGGCACCAGATCTTCTGGAACTGGAATTACAGATGGTTGTAAGCCACTCTGAATGCTGGGAAATGAATTCTGGTCCTTTGGAAAGCAGCCAGTGCTCTTAACTGCGGAGCCATCTCTCCAGCTCCATTTTAAAATACTTTTGCTAGATTCGTCTTAACTTTACTATTTAGAAAAATATTAAATTTTTTGATAAATGAGAAATTACTTGCCTGGCATAAAATAAACCTATTCTTTATTCTTTTTAAATTTTAATATGCCAGGAATTTATGATCATAAGAAAAAATAAAATATTAATTCATTTATTCTATTACATAAGAGAAAACTAATATTTGTAGAACAAAAATTTATTTTGTATAATTTCATTTAAAAATACTTAAAGAAATACGTAAAAATAATACAAAATTCAAAAAACCTAAATTTTACATTTTCCCCCACAATGCCAAAGGAAAAACCCATAATTACAAATATGTATATCAAAACCAAACAACCAAGCAGTCCCGTCAAGGGCATCAGAGAGTGGATGAGTTACGACTGAGCTTCATATCCAAGCGGGTCAAGCCCCTGATCTAGAAGCATCAGAGAGGATTCTCTTAACTTCTGCAGCAGTTTCCTTAGTTCTTCCTTAGAAAATACCTGACATTAGGAAAAAAAGAAAAAAAAAATCAAAAACGAGAATATCAACTTTTTAAAATCATAATCAACCTTAAGAAGAAATTTTCCAGGGGGCTGGAGAGATGGCTCAGCGGTTAAGAGCATTGCCTGCTCTTCCAAAGGTCCTGAGTTCAATTCCCAGCAACCATATGGTGGCTCACAACCATCTGTAATGAGGTCTGGTGCCCTCTTCTGGCCTCCAGGTATACATGCAGAAAGAATATTGTATACATAATAAATAAATAAAATAAATAAATATTTAAAAAAAAAAAGAAGAAATTTTCCTTGAAGATCTGTGTGGTTCAGAGACCTCGTGCTGGTTTATAGGACAGAATATATACTTCCATGCATATACAGAGACAGAGTTTACAGGACAGAATATATACTTCCATCATATATAGAGACAGAGCTTTTAAGAAGCACACTAAAACTGGAACATTACTCTATAAAATGGAAACAAGTATTCCCAAACATCATCGTCCAAGCGTATCAACAGGTAACTGGAAACCTCCAGACAGCCCGGCACTCACCAGGTAGAGTCTGTGGCGCTCCGAGGACACCATGTCGGCCAGCTGCAGGCTCTCCTGGTATTGACCAGTGCTATGCAGTACGGTGTGAAGCAGAAAGCACAGCATGGGCAGACAGAGCTTTCTGAGCAAAGCCATCTGGTGTGTTCTCTCAGGGTCTTCCTCGGCATCCTACAGACAGACACCAAGCCATCACTCCACAACTACACAGGTATGTATGGAGGCTCACACCCGTGACTCCAAACTCCAGCACTCAGGATGACAAGGCAGGAGCCTAAGTGCAAGTTCAGGGCAAACCTGATGGACACTGTGTGCCAGGCTGCTACAGAGACCCTGTCTCAAAAATATAAAACAACACCACCACCAAAACCAAAAAGTAAGCCATGTTGGGAGCCAATAGATTTAATGAACAACAAAAGGAAAATATTTGGGGGGAAAGTCGCATCTGTACTAAACATGTATACATTCTGTTCTTGTTATAACAATTGTTTAGACAGCATTTACACTAAATGGGTAGAGATGATCTGAAGAATATTTACCAGACAGGAGGGTGTGTGAGGATTACATGCAAATATCATGCATGCCATTTTATGTAATGGAAGGGGGCAATCTTGTATCTCTCAGGTCCTAGAATCAATGCCACAGGAACGCTGAGGGTTGACTACTGAGTCGAAACCAGAACAGGAAAACACGAAATTTCTTTTTCTAAAGCTTATCACTCCTATTTTTTTAAATGTATGTGTATATTTTTATATGCGTGCTGGTACACATGTGTATAGGGGCATGCATGAGTGTGTGCCCAAGTACTGAGGCCAGAGAATAACCCTGAGCAACATCCCAGAACACCAGCTCCTTGGTCTGGAGCTCTCCTTTAGGCTAGACACCTGATTGACAAGCGCCAGGGCTCCTGCCGCTCCCTCCTTGGTGCTAGCACTACAAGGGTAGCTTCTGGGGACCAAACACAGGACCCCGTGCTTCACAGGCCTGAGCTTTACTGACTGAGCCATCACGTGAGCCCTCATCAAGCCACCAAAAATTAAAACAAGCTAGCTTCGATCATAATATTATCTAGTCTACTAGACTAGATTTTCTTCTTTTTTTTGGAAATACGATTTTAAGGCTAAAGACACGAAGATGAACTTTTAAGATATACTAGAGGAGACAGTATGGAAGTAAAATGCTGCTGAGTGTGTTTCTGATGCATCTAGACTAACAGCACACAAAAGAATCAGACTTAATACCAATCTGGGTAAAGAAACACAGAAAATAATTACCACTGATTTCCCTCCATACATGTAGACATCACCACATGTATCTAAGATCTGAGAGGGCTTACCAACCTGACTGCGGTCAAGCCAGGGACGGTTGAGTAAGAACTTGTAAACTTCTAAGAGAACAAATAATTTTTTTTGTATAGTCAGAAATTGGTGGAGGTGGGAATTATAAGAACCCGAGGACTTGAGTAACACAGAAGAGAGGAGGCGAGAGGAGAGGAGGGTAGGGGAGGGGAAGGGAGATCATGGCTTAGCTCTTAGGAGCACGGGCTACTCTGATGCCCAGCACCCACTGAGTGTCTAATAACTGTCTGTAACTCCAGTGCCAGGCAACACATTCACACACATAAAATTAAATATAAAAGCTACTTTTAGTAGGGCATGGTAGAACATGATAGCACATGCCTTTAATTCCAGCACTCAGGTGGCAGAGACATGTGGATTTCTGAGTTAGAGATCAGTATGGTCTACAGAGAGTTTCTAGGGCAGTCAGGGCTACAGATAACCTGGTCTCAAACACAGATATGCACGCATACATGCGAGAGAGAGAGAGAGAGAGAGAGAGAGAGAGAGAGAGAGAGAAAGAGGGGGGGAGGATCTGAAGCCATTTTGTTATAGCAAAAAGTGT